GTCTTGCTGTCTGGACTGGACTACAGCAAAACTCTGTGTTTGCATAATAAATGAAAAATATTTCAGCCTACCATATTTAACAATGTTTATTGTTTAGTTTCTGAGACATGTCGTTTTTCTACAGTGAAGAATATGTTAGATATCCTAATTAATTATGCATTAACATTACGTGTTTTCATGTGCATATCATATGAGGAATGTGACTAAGTATATGATCTTTATTATTTACCATGTGATATGAGATGAATACTGCTAAAATATAATAATAATATTTAATAAAATATTAAATATCTTAAGTTTTATAATGTTAAAATATTACACAGTACTGTGATAAAGATCAGAATTTGAAACGTCTTAATTTAACTTTACTTATTTCTCATGACAAAGTCCAATATTGTCAAGAGCAGCTTTGTAACAAGCTGATAATTATAAAATAATTTATTAAAAAAAGGTTTGTGTAGCCAAAAGTAAATCTTGTTAAATTAAAAATATTGAAAGCTGTCCTGGAAGAAGCCTGGTTAAAGAGCCTGCTTGTGTTTTTGTGCCACAGCTAATACAATGAAATTGCACTGATATCATTTGTTTGTGATAAATAATCTGGTGATCTATAGTCTGTTTTAAAACATACAGTATGTCAATTAATATGCATTTCAGCACAGTCTTGTTAATGGCAAAAGTTAAACACTGGATTTTGTTAGTTTATTGATGCAGGTTGGGGTTCATTTTACTGTATACATTTTTCTTTTTGAGAATTGTTAATTTTGGTTTAAATGACTGTTACACATATCTCTGGAACTGATCTGAACTGACCTCTAGAGCCAGTTGATATACTTTATTGTTTATATGGTAAATTATATAATTCAATAGAGTGTAAGTTCCCTTATTTTTAACAAGTTCTGCGTTCAAACTGTTCAGCTGGGACCTGAACCAAATGACAACTTCAAAAGCATTGATAGTCATAGTTTATAAATTCATTGTTTGATGACAGAGTTCCTTTAGTAAAGTTAAGTTTTTTTCCTATAGAACAAGGCGGACTGTTGCAAATTAAAAGACTTCCATCAAATATTGGGTTTACAGTTGGTTTTTGATATGTGGATTGAAGTACAAGTTGCTGATTTCTTGAATGTACTCCTGTATTACCCTCTGTTTCAGGAAATCAGGTGATGAGGGAGGACTTCTGTTTTTCTTTAGCTTTACAGTTGAATCTATTGTTTATGGTTAAAATAATGAACTAGGATCAGAGAGTATTTGCTGAAGCAATGTTCTGTTCTTGAAACAGATCACTGTTATTAGTTTTATTGTTACTCTTCTGCTTTTATTACTCTGCCTATAACTAGCAAGTAAAGTTATTGTTAATTAGTGCTAGACTAATTTTTAAAAATTAAAAAAGTTAAATTTATGTTGGTAATGCAACAAATCATGGAGCTAACTTGTCTCAAATGAGAGAGGTGGCTTTGAAATACTGTTTATTCATCCTTAAGGAGATACAGTGGAGTGAAAAAGTGTTTGCCCCCTTCCTGTTTTCTTATTTTTTTGCATGTTTGTCACACTGAAATGTTTCAGATCATCAAACAAATTGAAATATTAGACAAAGATAACACAAGTAAA